AAATTATTTTATAAATGTTAGTAGGGCACATTTTGCAAACTAAGCCATCCCATGTTTTAAATTTTACATGTGTGAAACTATACAGAATTAAAATATGAATCGATACAGGATTCAAATATGATACAGGTAAGTGTGTATTGAATATTGTATCGTCTGAGATTATTATAGATGTAACAGTGAGTTGTGACATCCCTACTTTCAAGCAAACAACTTGATTGAAGGTAAATAATACTACTTAGTAGCAAAACCAAATTTACCAAAGCCAGCTAGTCCATATTTGCCAATGCCCACACCTCTTTGACAGTTGTTCTAATTTTGTCTTGGAGTGCTGGTATAGATATCTGATAAGGTCTGGGGACATGACTGCTTGGTATTGCTCTCCTCACCACTTATTCCATAGAAATGATGACTTTTAATATGACTTTGGAGAAATCTTGGTAAATTGACCATCTTACCAGACAAATATTGACAGCTGGTAGGGAAATAGCATCTATTAGAAGCCTCATCTTGTCCAGGTTTACTTACATATAGAAAGGATGCATTATGGGAGTGAGAGACGGATTTGCGATATGACAAAGTTGATCATAGTGCTATCCATTTACAGTCTTCGTTGCATATTGACTGGTTCTATTTAGTCTACATTAAATATTGATGAGTTCATTCCGGCATTGAGAAGGCAACCCTAGTTATAAAGTTTGAAACTTTAGTAATCAGTACTCTATCTGTTCACAAAGTGTTGCAAAGAATCGGATGATCAGAACGTTTCAATTTTTGCATAGTTTTTTATAAAGACGTGAATAGGAAGGGACTGTTATTGAACATTGGTAGTGTATGCACGCAGGTCACACACTTAAATGATCACTGGTTGAACATCATATTCACCTAGTGCAGGTGATATAAAATTTGTGAGATGAACTCCACTTTCTTCAGATCTCATTGTTAAACATTGTAATGCATGAATAGACTGAACACAGCAATAAACTTTCAATTTTCATCAAGATCGCTTTTATTTATGGAACAGCGTTAGAGACTCGTGATCTGTCTGGATGTGTCTGACTGTGGGAATTTACAGCCAGATTCGAGAGAAAGCAGCAGACGTGGCTTTCAACAGGAGACTAGACAGCCAGAAAGCACAACTTATACGGCAGGTTGAATTCTAAGTACCATGGTGTAATTGACCAGAGATTCTACAACCGATATTTTTGTGTGTGCGAAGGACTTTAAATCAAGCTTATATGCCTGTCAATGGACCCTCCCACTAATACAAAGATACGGGACTTTGTGACGCCAGTCTTATCGGGATTTCCACTGTATTGTTAACTGGGGATAATTTTCACCTTTCTGCCAATTTTAAGCTCAGAATTCACATAGCTACCTGCCTAGCTGTTATGGAATCGACAGGTAGATCTCAGGAAAAGATTTTATCAGTCGAAAAAAGTTTTCTTGGATATTGAATTCTTTAAAAGAATGGTATTAAATCATTTCCGCTTGTAGAGTTTCATTGTTTGTTGGAGATGTAATCATTCTCTATGTATCAAATTACAGCAGCATTGTGGGAATATGTCGAGAAGTTTCAGATTGTAGTACTGATAGTGATATTTCAGATCAACTTCGAAAACATTTTGAAGTCCTTGAAAGTGGTAATTAAGTCAAGTTTTTTCCAGGCCAAACTTTCAAAATATTCTTCATTGGTTCATGACATGCATTTCAAATGATTAAGCAGTGAAAATAGTGTTCTTTCACCAACTAAATCTGTGTTTTTGTCCACCCCATAGAACATATTTTTTCTATAGAATACTCTCTCATCATATAATCAGCTCTTAATGGACAGAATTGCTTTTGACTTGTACGTTTTGCATTATTACAGACTTCAACCATATTCTGACTGAAGTAATTTGAAGAACATAATTGTGCCATATTGAGAAATCCTTCTTCTCAAGTATTTGATTCATGTATTTGGCAAGTTGATCCCGTCATCTGTTGAGTTCAATCCCTGAGGTTTTACACCACTTTGTCTCCAGGCTTGTATTTAAAATGATCAGCCATGCGGACATGGATGATATCAAAAAGTGACACGAGAGCAAAAAACCCTGTATGATTAAGTGATTACGAGCACACTGCATTATGTAGGTTCCTATTGGCTTAAATTTCTCACTTGACTGTTCACCAATGCGTAATCTGAAATACGATTTAAACTGCCCAGACTGTGACTGATTAGAAGGCGTTTGGTTGTGAGATAGTTTATTGCAGACGCAGCTAGTCGACGCCGTCTTTATGCTTATTATTGGCGATGCTGTTCATTCAAGATGTTGAAATTAATGTTTTCAAATCTTGACAAAGGTAGCCAGATAAGCTGGTAATTGTTTCTAGAGTCAGACGGTTCAAGGAAACATGGTAGTTAATACGCTAGAGGTGACTTCTATACAAAGCCAGCGTGGCAGTGTCATTTCTGTTGCTCATCATGCTTTCAACATGTTTCACTTGTAAAGATGGGCCCAGTTGGCCCAGTTGTCCAAAGTGCTGTTTTTTTGCTGTGCAGAGTTGTGTCCCTTGGGCATGACAGGAACCTGTGATCATAGTTCAAACCCCAGCACTAATGTGTCTAGGTTTGTCAGCACCATACACTTGTTTGTTTCTCTAAAGTGGTAAATGTGTGAGACTTTCATCCAGGGTTCGAAATACCCCATATATTAGTGTGCCATGGCACGGCTAAAAAATGTTCTCGGTGCCCTTTTGACACGCTTGATTTTTCAGAGACATAACTCACATTTAGTCATTTAATCCCCAAAACAATTTTTTTTTACAAATTAAATAATACCATACATATTTGACTGGTCATAGACCCATTTCTTTATTTAACAATAAATTTCAAATGATCATCATCATTGTCATTTATTCTAAAAACATGTGGGCATACTCAATTTCTGAAAGGCACACCTAAAATATTTGTCTGGTGCCCTAAGGCACACTTAGAAAAAAAATATTTCTATCCCTGCTTTCATCACTTGGTCTTTAAGCTGACATAACATGATATGAATGAAATATTTGTTAAAAGAAGCGTGACACTCTACTACTCACTACTTGGACTTGGAGAGGGAAGTCTACTGGATGTGTGACTTTTGATACAATGTGTGAAGTCATGTCTGGTGTTCCCAGTGTTATTGGGGGCGGTGGGGTAGTCTAGTGGTTAAAGTGTTGGCTCGTCATGCCGAAGACCCGGGTTCGAATCCCCACATGGGTACAATGAGTGAAGCCAATTTCTGGTGTCCCCCGCCATAATATTGCGGGAATATTGCTAAAAGCGGCGTAAAATCAAACTCAGTCAGTCAGTCAGTGTTAGTGAGGAGGTGAGTATGGTTTTGTACTATTGTAGCAATATTCCAGCAATATCATGGCAGGGGACACCGGAAATGGTCTTTGTACCCATGTGGGGAATCAAGCCCAGATCTTCAGCGTAACGAGCGGACGCTTTAACCACTAAGCTCCCCATGGCCAACGTTTTTGGAGAAGAACAATTCTTCATAGCTACTATCAGACACTATCATGGTTTTTAACCTAGCATATATTGTCAGAAGACTGACTGACTGAGTGAGTTTGGTTTCACGCCGCTTTTAGCAATATTCCAGCAACATCACGGCGGGGGACACCAGAAATGGGCTTCACATATTGTCAGAAGAATAAAACAATACTCGCTTCTGTGACGAGAATACCAAAGTCAGAAGTAGTGAAAATATTATGCCACATGTTATCAGCTTGCCCACAAGTCTGTTGAAACAGAATTTTAATCCAGTAAGATCAGCTGATACTTGTCTATATTGTGATGAAACTTAAACAAACTGACCTTTTAGCGCAGGCTGTATCCTTCCTTACTGATTATTTGGTCATTATTAATGATTTTTTATATTCAATATTGAGGAAATCATCTGTTTATTGGAAAAAGGATGAATTAGCCTTGTAGTTTAGCGTTCACTCATCATGCCTGTGGCCTGGGTTTGATTCTGAACATGGATACAATTTATAAAGCCCATTCCTGGTGTCCCAAGCTAGAATATGGCTAAAATGTGTTTTTCAGAGTCAGGAAATTTCCTCTTTATATAAGCCTGTACAAACCTAATGTACTGCATTATACAAGTGGCAGTCTGTCTCACAGTCTCTGAACCACATTACTTTCCCTACTGCCTAGCCCTCCCTGCAACGATAAAGCCCTAAATGAAACAAGTCTATATTTCCTCAGGGTCTGAATCTCCCATGTACTAGGGCTCCTTTTCAATTTAAATGGGTTTATTTGTTACTATCCAAATTATATATATTCAGAGACTAAGTGTTAGTCTATACAGATGGTAACATATGTATTTCCACGTCTGGAACGCTCGTTACTATTACCTCCCTTGGTAATCCATTACCGTCAATGATCAGATCACGCGAGTTCCTTTGAAGCGTCTGTGAAAAACAGCGTTTATATTACCGGACAACATGTCCCAAGGTGTAAACGTTATTTTTGATTTTACTTGTTTGAAGTAGACATTAGACGATAAATCTGACTTTTGATTCATCCCCTCGTGGCCGCAACGTGAACCATCCAGTCTCTTTCGTCAGTGATTGCTTTACGCTCATTGAAAATATCCCACATTTAACTCATCGGCCATTGTTAATACTGCCTTTACTGGGAGACAGTTTTACATACGGGAATTTAAGGGGTTCAGACCTAAAAGAGGATTTCAGTAAAATGATTACACATCTAATGTAATAATTCAATTTATGTTTCATGGGGTAAATTGGGCATATGTTTTATTAGATCAATTTTTACGTAAATCTATTAAGAAAAATACATGAGAACTCATATCGCGGCGACCCTTGATCTGTGGGCAGACTTGGAAAATTATTAAATTTTATGGAAAAAAACCCGCACAATGGTTATTCTCTGTATAAAGATTATCATAAATCATGAATTTGTTCAGTGGTGAAAACTACTTCCAGTGTTTATTGATGGTGATACTTACTTTTACAAATGTGATTCATTTTAATATATCCTGCTTGCATCGCCTCTACTGGGGTCCGAGGGGGCCGATACCATAAGCCATACTTTACTGCAAAAGAAGAGAAAAACATTGTAAAGTAATTCAAAAGAACAGCAAAGTGATTAAATCTGATCATAATAAACTAGACACCAAAAGAAACGCTGCATAAAATCAAATCAGGTAGTTGGCACTATTCATGTCTCACACCTACAGTCAGGTAAGCCAGCACTATTCATGTCTCACACCTACAGTCAGGTAAGCCGGCACTATTCATGTCTCACACCTACAGTCAGGTAAGCCGGCACTATTCATGTCTCACACCTACTGTCAGGTAAGCTGGCACTATTCATGTCTCACACCTACAGTCAGGTAAGCTGGCACTATTCATGTCTCACACCTACTGTCAGGTAAGCTGGCCTGGCACACTATTCATGTCTCACACCTACAGTCAGGTCAGGTAAGCTGGCACTATTCATGTCTCACACCTACAGTCAGGTAAGCTGGCACTATTCATATCTCACACCTACTGTCAGGTAAGCTGGCACTATTCATATCTCACACCTACAGTCAGGTAAGCCGGCACTATTCATGTCTCACACCTACTGTCAGGTAAGCTGGCACTATTATTCATGCACCTACTACAGTCAGGTAAGCTGGCACTATTCATATCTGGCACATTCCTACCTACAGTCAGGTAAGCCAGCACTATTCATATCTCACACCTACTGTCAGGTAAGCAGGTAAGCCAGCACTACTGTCAGGTAAGCTGGCACTATTCATGTCTCACACCTACAGTCAGGTAAGCTGGCACTATTCATGTCTCACACCTACAGTCAGGTAAGCTGGCACTATTCATGTCTCACACCTACTGTCAGGTAAGCTGGCACTATTCATGTCTCACACCTACAGTCAGGTAAGCTGGCACTATTCATATCTCACACCTACTGTCAGGTAAGCTGGCACTATTCATGTCTCACACCTACAGTCAGGTAAGCTGGCACTATTCATGTCTCACACCTACTGTCAGGTAAGCTGGCACTATTCATGTCTCACACCTACTGTCAGGTCACACCTACTGTCAGGTAAGCTGGCACTATTCATGTCTCACACCTACTGTCAGGTAAGCTGGCACTATTCATGTCTCACACCTACAGTCAGGTAAGCTGGCACTATTCATGTCTCACACCTACAGTCAGGTAAGCTGGCACTATTCATATCTCACACCTACAGTCAGGTAAGCTGGCACTATTCATATCTCACACCTACTGTCAGGTAAGCTGGCACTATTCATGTCTCACACCTACTGTCAGGTAAGCTGGCACTATTCATATCTCACACCTACTGTCAGGTAAGCTGGCACTATTCATATCTCACACCTACTGTCAGGTAAGCTGGCACTATTCATATCTCACACCTACTGTCAGGTAAGCTGGCACTATTCATGTCTCACACCTACAGTCAGGTAAGCTGGCACTATTCATGTCTCACACCTACTGTCAGGTAAGCTGGCACTATTCATGTCTCACACCTACTGTCAGGTAAGCTGGCACTATTCATGTCTCACACCTACCTACAGTCAGGTAAGCTGGCACTATTCATGTCTCACACCACCTACAGTCAGGTAAGCTGGCACTATTCATGTCTCACACCTACAGTCAGGTAAGCTGGCACTATTCATGTCTCACACCTACTGTCAGGTAAGCTGGCACTATTCATGTCTCACACTGTCTAAGCTGGCACTATTCATGTCTCACACCTACAGTCAGGTAAGCTGGCACTATTCATGTCTCACACCTACTGTCAGGTAAGCTGGCACTATTCATGTCTCACACCTACTGTCAGGTAAGCTGGCACTATTCATGTCTCACACCTACTGTCAGGTGTCAGGTCTCACACCTAGTCAGGTAAGCTGGCACTATTCATGTCTCACACCTACTGTCAGGTAAGCTGGCACTATTCATATCTCACACCTACTGTCAGGTAAGCTCACACCTACTGTCAGGTAAGCTGGCACTATTCATGTCTCACACCTACTGTCAGGTAAGCTGGCACTATTCATGTCTCACACCTACTGTCAGGTAAGCTGGCACTATTCATCACACCTCTCACACCTACTGTCAGGTCAGGTAAGCTGGCACTATTCATGTCTCACACCTACTGTCAGGTAAGCTGGCACTATTCATATCTCACACCTACTGTCAGGTAAGCTGGCACTATTCATGTCTCACACCTACTGTCAGGTAAGCTGGCACTATTCATATCTCACCTACTGTCACCTATTCATGTCTCACACCTACTGTCAGGTAAGCTGGCTGGCTACTATTCATGTCTCACACCTACTGTCAGGGCTGGCACTATTGGCACTATTCATGTCTCACACCTACAGTCAGGTAAGCTGGCACTATTCATATCTCACACCTACTGTCAGGTAAGTGTTGGCACTATTCAGCTGGCACTATTCATGTCTCACACCTACTGTCAGGTAAGCTGGCACTATTCATATCTCACACCTACAGTCAGGTAAGCTGGCACTATTCATATCTCACACCTACTGTCAGGTAAGCTGGCACTATTCATATCTCACACCTACAGTCAGGTAAGCTGGCACTATTCATATCTCACACCTACAGTCAGGTAAGCCAGCACTATTCATATCTCACACCTACTGTCATGAAAGTGTGAAATTCATTGTGCCGTGTTTATCTTGATCTCCGTTGGATGGATAAGATCAAAATGGTTTATATTTGTCCTGTTGCAGCTAACAAACAAAAGGCCACAAGTGTGCTGGATGTGCTGGCCAGGATACATTTCAGAGCGGAATGCACGGACATGTGCCTAAATCTACGTTTATGCACGCAGAGTTGAAATCGGATCATCCACATTTCAAAGCTAATATTAGAAATTCTATGGCGAATGATATATCCATAACACCATTGAACAGTAGACAAAGAAATCTACACTAATCTCTGAGAGAATTATTTATTCTGGGTGGGCATTGGATACGGAAGAGGCAGGATACGAGTTAAACCTTGGTGATCAATTGTGCAATATTGTATACTGTGTAAACATCCATCCATGTGCAATACAAGTTTTATACAATACACACAGCTGCCAACGTTGGAAGGTCCCACCTTGTAAACACTCTTCCATTTTTCTCTTCAAAATAAATTCATTTTTTAATACCAAAACTATCCTTGAATTTAAAAGTGTATGTTTGTTCTGTATTCCTTGTGCTTTCAGTCTGTCGATTCTTTTTTGAAATTCTGAACATGTCTTTTGAATAGGTGAAGAAAAGCTCTTTATGAAATTGGAAATTTGATATTGAGCCTTATGACTTAATCTTATTTAATACTAGCAAGTTACATGGATTAAGTGAATATACCTTACTTTATGATAATGAATGAGCTGTTTGATGATTCGAAAAGTTTCTTTGATAGCTTTCACGTTTTTTGTATTTACATTTTTTCGGAACTGTTGAAATGTTACCTTTAATCCTTCTTAAGAGATAAAAGAATTCTATATTTCTTGTCCAAAAAGTTCTCTCCATGAAATGAAGTTTTGATAAATTAGAAAACTTGGTAGTGAACTTATTTGTCGGGAGTATGATAGTGTAAATACACAAACCAAATCACAACAATGTTTTGGTTATTATTGTAGCTCTTTTAAGATGTTTGTCATTAAACATTGCAGTCACAATATTCCAGATATATGAACTTATAAGTTTTTATTTTAACATTACAGGGAAATTAATTGTTGATAAATTGGAAAACTTGTTTGTGTACTTGTGAGGAATATGATAATGAATGGACACAAATAAAATCCCAAACATTTCAATATATCGTTTAGCTCTTTTATGATGTTTGTCATGGAACATTTCAGTTACAATATATCATGGAGGGCAATGAATAATTGAGTCTGGATCAAATAAGCCAGTGATTGGCATTTCTTGTTATGGAGGTACAGTTTGAACCAAGTCATTTATCACAGCACGTACCGGTAGATAAAACGGTCGACTGTAGGAAGTCACATGGTCATGTGTTCTATTGTTCTCATAGTTTGACCAGTAAAATAATCGTGGGCTGTTTACAAGGTTCAACACTGGTCCTGGAACACAACTTGCCACCGGATGTGTTGCAGGTCAAAGCAAGTATTGTATGACATTTGATTTCAGTCATTTGTAGATATGTACATTCAATAGATACTCCACAGGAAGTCATCTCAATGTGTTTAGAAGTAGGTGAAAGCTCAGACTGAGGAAATGTTGTTTCAATCCGTCATAAATGCATCATTTATTCCGAGGTACACTTTACTGAAATTAGATTCCCTATTTACAAAATACCATCAGTGACATCCTTTATGATCAAACCGGTGATTTAACACTTTTCTTATTGTGGTATTCAGCAATCAAAATTAAATCAAAGTTACCTCCCTTTGATGTACAGCTAGTTCCTCAGTGCAAAATGTTGTAGCACAATTTGGTTAATGTGTAGTGTGTAATAAAATGCAATGGCAGGAAAGTTTGATGAATGGAGTAAACATTTTCAGAGTAAGAAAGCATACACTGAACTGGTTTTAATGCGATGGGTCAGATGAGTAAAGAAGACATCTGGAGTACAATGTGGTGTATAGACTTGCAGCATTGCCGTTAATTCCACTGACGTTTTATATTCCTTCCTCCCAGTGTTTCATGTATATTGATAAGTCTGATGACAGTCTGACATGCATGCCCTGTTTTGGTGATGGCAGATGAGGTCATCTCCCACACAAGTGTACAGCTAGGCATGGAGTCTACTGTTCTTCTGATGAGGAAGAGATCAGTGATTGAATAGCTGGTGCCTGGTTTGCAGTAATATTGGTCAACAAGTAATCATTCAGGTATCAAGTCCTGGTTATCTGGCAATATATTTGCAAATATTTCAGACAGATTTTCTACAGATTGCTGTGTTGTAGACGGAAAATTTCTGAACTGCAGCGTTACAAAATAATATTAATTTTAATTTTAATTTTAATTTTAATTTTAATTTAATTTTAATTTTCCACTTGATTGTTTGTGAAGTAAAGAAGATGCA